CATATATATATATATATACATGTATATATATATATATATATACATATATATATATATACCTATATATATTATATATATATATATATATATTTGATTTTGAGATCGTCATGTCTGGCCTTGTGTGCAACGTGAGTAGATGGGAAATGATCAAGTCAACGTGCCACAGTACAAATATCCAGTGAATCTATATATGCGGCACATTTAACAGCGAATTAATACGTGTGCAAATGTTCCTTATTGTCTACTGGTTTGTTTTTGAGCACATATACTAGGATTCGATATCTCATTGTGCTTTCATTCCCACTATGAGTTGATCGCGCCCACATGGTTGGTAACTTCTGCAATACGCGTTCTCTCAGTTATCAAGGTTTACAGGTGTGCGGCCTCGATGCAACTATATTTCTTTATCGTTGTAAATACGTTGCTGCGCTGCACTTTTATCGTCAGGTTTCCAACGGTTTGTATTCAAATCACTTTTGTGTGTCGTAGCTAGGTGTATTTCACCTGTTGAAGGATACCTGCGGGCTCAGGCAGCGGGCCAATTGGCAGTCTAAAGTACTATCGCCGGATTTTACAATACCTCGTGTTCGTCTGCACGCATTTCAATTTTTTTTCGTGTATTTTTGGCCGTGTTTCACAGTTAAAGTTCATCCGCCAATCATTGTCTATCAATTAATACAGGTAGAGAAATCGGGACGGATGACAAGGTCAAAGCCGGGCGAACCCTATCTGTGTACTGGATACGATGCTTACATAACAAAGGAACCGTGCATCATGTGCGCAATGGCATTGGTTCATTCGAGAGTGCGACGAGTTTTCTATGGCGTGAGTGATAAATATATAGGTGGACTCGGCGGACGATATTCTCTGCATCTACAAGAGTAAGTAATGTACGCATGTACGCTATTACGCTATTTCTATATACACACTTGACAGGAGACACTCCTGATAGTGACAGGCCGTGCTTGTCTTGTATTGCATGACCTATTTGCGATCCCAGAAAACACTGCGTGGTCAAAATCCTGAGAATCTTGCTCATCCATTCGCATATTTTTGCAATTCTTCCATCCTGTTTAAATTGCAGAAGCATAAATCATCGATTTGAAGTTTTTCGTGGCATCTGCGCGTCCGAGTGCGAAGACTTTCATTTAAGGAATTCCACAATGAGGGATTCATCACAAATGAAGACAGCAAAAGATTGAAGTCGGAAGTACATTGTGAACGTTTTTCTGGATTAAAGCAACATCATACACACTGTATAACGTAAGTGACGCTACTTTCTTCTGGCTTGTCGAGTCTTACTACAATCGTTTGTTGTTGGAAGCCATTAGGTGCCAGGTTGGGGTTGGTCACGATGCTCATCTCGAAATTTTATAAATCTTCTGGTTTCTAACCAAAGTACCGTGCCCTTCTAGTCGCGGTTTGTAGACTGGCTTCATCGCGATTGCTGTTGAACTGTACTGCGCCCAACAATCTTATCGACTGCCTCAGCATCAATGGTTTATTATCTTTTGCAGTACACATGTACCTCACGCTCATGGTTTGGGCTGGTTTCATCGAAGTTTGATCTTCTAGGATCTTTCAATAAGTCAAAATTTTGACATACCCAGTTTCTTCTGAATCTTAGAATGTTTCTGCTTGGGTGGACCTACTCAGTAGTGGAGTTGCACTGGGTAATTTCACACTTAACGTTTTCGGTCTCTATTTGCTGGTTGGTCGACGTAATATGTTGTAACGTTCTACACACTGACTAATCTCAGAGTGAGTTGTTTTATTTCAGTGCATTGATTTTCCAGGACTTAGTTTACCTGGGCATCGCATCGAAGTGGGCACATATCTATCGAAATACTGATACAGAAGTATGCTCAGTCGTGAACTATATCACGAGTCCACCAGTGTTACAATGGAAATATTTAGTCAGCCAAGTTCGATATAACACAAGCATATGTGTTGGTCTGTTTGCTTCTAGGGTTGATTGATACATCACCGGTTCGATCAGATTGCGCAAGCTATCGAACAACTACCCTTCGCCTACTGGTCCGCATAATGAACATACATCTGTATGAAAGCACATACGTCGATATGTAATTAAATATGTCCACATTTTGGTACAGAGGACCACTCCATACTAAATATGCAGAGCAACTCCGCCCTCATACCGCCACGGAAGGTGTCCGGGTGGATACACAATCCGGACGAGCTTTGCGAAGGAGCGCTTAATCATATGCCGGTTGAGACCATGCCCTTGAAAAATCGGTCACAACGAATTCAAAAAGCCGTTGGCATCTCGATACAGCTGTTCCAACCCGCCCTCCACGGCACCTACTTGCTGTGACGGTGTTAGTCGGGGGTTCAAGTTCGATGTTGGGGTGTTCATATGGACTGATTGCGCTTCGGGGTTCATGGACAGTGGCTCATACTTGAGTAGGGGTACCTCCTGCTTTTGCGACGCCGACATAGTGGATAGCCATGTATAGTTTGGATCTTCTCCAGGATTCATTGGCTTCATCTGGGACTGGTGTCCATCCGAACCTTGTCTTTGAGTGTCTGATGATATATCGAAGGATTCCACGTTTGGCGTGATTGGAAAACTATTCTCGTACCCCTTTTCCCCAAGTGACAATTCTTGTACCATGTCATCAAAAACAAGTTGCTCTTGTACATCGGGTGCGGAGGCTCGTCGGTCGGATTGTGACACTTCCGTTGTTAGTGGCATAGAGCATCTGTTACCTGGCATTCTTGTCAGCGCAGTGTCATTGAGGTGTAAACCACTGTACAATGTAGGTAGCACCGGTTTCCCCTGCAACATGGATAGCCGTGCATTACCCTGCAATACGGAAAATTCAGTGCTGGGCTGAGAGTTCGATATCGAGCCCAATGACTGCGTGCGCACCACCGCAGTAGGAGTCGGGTCGGGGTTCGCCCTATGGCGTTTCCCTTTCGAAGTGCTAAGCTCCTCTAATGAAGAGAGCCCCGAATAAGGCAATGAGAGTTCCATTGATTTCCGCAGTCTGCTCTGTTTTGTTTTAACCTGAACAGCTTCATCAATTCCAACCTCCGAATGTACTGATTTGATGATATGTGATTTTAAAACTGTTTTATCTCCGTCCAAATGCACCCCCTTGGCTTTCTTTTCTAGTACAACGACTTTGGTACCAGTTTTGGCTTTCACTTTCTTTTCCTTCGCCGTCTTCTCCTTCGCTGATTTGTCTTTTGCAGCCGCCGCTTTGTTCCGCCGTCCCCGGTGCCTAATGTACTCGCCTTGGTCACTAAAGTAATGGCGACTCTCTGGGTCAACTGTCCAATAGTTGCGTTTTCCGTCAGCAGTCGTGACTACCTTCTTCACGAATGATTCATTAAAGGTGAGATTATGCCGCACGCTTGACTGCCAACTGCCGCTCTTTTCCTTCTTAAAGAAAGGAAAGTTTTCGTTGATCCAGGTGTATATCTCTGAAAGGGTAACCCTAAGGTCTTTAGAGTTCAGAATCGCCATTCCGATGAGACTAGCATAAGAATGTGGCTGTTTCTCAGCCACCTGTGGTACAGGAACCTGTGGCATTGGTGGCTGATGGTTTAGTATTTGCTGTTGTGCACCAAATATCTGGGGTGAAAGGCCTGCTCTACTGTCCATCCCGTTCGCATATGGCATCGAGTTCAACAGCTTGCTAAGCTCATTTTGATTTTGTTGCTCAAACCCACCACTGTTCACAACGAAGCCATTTCTTTGCGAATTGTATGACTGCAGATTACTATAGTAATCCATATCACCGCCGATCAAAGTATTATCACCCACATACGAACATAAATAGTTTTCGTTATTCATGCCTAGTATGTGGCGATTGTTCTTGAAGTCACTAAGTTGCTGGTGCAAGTGCTGCGAGTCACTGAACTGTTGCCGTACAGGTGCTCTACCGTTGCTGGCAAGTTGGCCTGTCGATTGCCGGTGAGCACCTCCTTTTGATAGTGCTTGTGATTCAGGGGGATGGTTCAAAGTATTGAAGTAGCTGTATGATTCCGAGGACTGAATAGTACCTGAACGCGTACGCTGCACAAGTTCATTGTTCGCATCTATGCTCCTATCGAATGTATCGTCTGCTTGTACATGCATAAAATTCTGAAGTGGCTGATGTGAGCGTCCAGCGTTCCAGTACGGACTAAATTGAACGCTATTAGAAGGAAGTGAGTTTCTTCTGATCTTGCGTCTGTGGCCTTCACCGTTGAAAACTGTATCGCTACTTTCGTTGATTGCAACAAGCTGATTGTGCCCAGGCATCAATGCGCCGGGTGCATTGTTATAAGCGTCGCTGTTAGCCATGGTCACTCCAACGCCACCAAGTGTACAACTCTGGTTTGGCTTAGATGTTATCATTCGAATCCATGCCTCCGTGTCGTTTTCTTCCGTGTTCATGATAGATAGTGCTAATACGCTAACTGTGGTGCTTTAAGAGTGACCCGCTATATCACTGAGCAGCTATGCATATATACGGCATTTGAAATTTCAAATAATAAACAAAAAAAAAGAAGAAAAAAAGAAAACTTTTGAAAAAAAGTTGGAAAAAGATTGCAGTTTCATTGGAGTAAATATAGAACGCATCTTTGCTTCTAAAAGTTCTATACAATATTCAATCTTGAACATTATATATCAGTAATCCTGATCATAGCCTTCTGAATTATACACCTGATCATACATACTCTATATGGTACCAAATTCGATACTCGATTCATATTTTCTGAAAAGTGAATAAATATGCTCATCAACTTATCGACATCGTCTTTTTCTCTATGCGAAATATACTCCGGTATTTCTATCTATTTTTTGTCTCAGTTTTCGATTTAATTAAAATAAATAAATATTAAAATTGTTTCTTTCTATCTATTTTATTTATGATTTTTTCTAATATAATATGTTTTTGTTTTAAAAAACAATTATAAACCAAAAATGAAATATGTTGAATGTTCTCTCTCTCTCTCTCTCGTCTTGTTTGTTTTAAAAGAAATTAGATAAAACAAAATACCTCAGTTGAGACACTGGGAGGAGGGGGTGGGGAAAGTGGAGACTGGTCACTGGTGAGTGGAGACTGGTCACTGGTGAGTGGAGACTGGTCACTGGTGAGTGGAGACTGGAGACTGGGGAGAGTGGAGACTGGAGTCTGGAGGTCTGGGGGGTACTGGTAGTAGAATAGAAAGAGGGAGGAGTTCAGAGTTTACGCTAAAACGTATAAACGGTGAATTATTTTTTTTCGGACAATGTTTATATCGTGTGTTTATATCGTGATTACCCTACTACTATAGATTTAAAAACATTCGTAGTCCTGGGCGGCTTGATGAGTTTCAAAGTTTTCAATAATATATGGGCAGCACGAGAAGTGTAGGACTGTATTGTGCTCCATAGGACTGTAGCCGTAGGTGACGAGGAGTAGGTGACTAGGTGCCCGTTTTCGTTGAATCTTTGATTCTATTCTTTCCCCAGACTTTCAGTTTGTAGTCTTTTGGACACAAATTTTGAACTGTACCGGTTATTATTTTTCTAAAAAAAGACATCGAACAAAAGCGTTTACATTTTTCGGTTTTGTATAAAAATAATTAGAGAAAATCAGTTCACATATAAACCTCAAGACCCCCAAATGTATATTAACGAATACATTCCATTGGCCACTAAATAGTAAAAATTGTTCGCATTGACGGATAATAAACACAAACTTAATCTCATCTCGATCGTGCTATTGGTTAAAAAGTTACAGAGATTTTGGTTTGTACCAGAGTTGAGTCAAACTAGCCAAACATGAGCACTATATAGGTCCGTTCACACCTATCAGACATCCTGGGAATCAAAGTATGTTGCTCCTATACTCTTTGGGATGATATATGTGTCCGTTCACAGCACCTCTGGACATATCTATCGGGTACTTCGTTTCCTTCCTGGTATAATTTGTACCAGGAAGGAAATGAAGTACTCGAAAGAAATGTCCAGAGGTGCTGTGAACGGACACATATATCATCCTAAAGAGTATAGGAGCAACATACTTTGATTCCCAGGATGTCTGATAGGTGTGAACGGACCTATATAGTGCTCATGTTTAGCTAGTTTGACCCAATTCTCTGTAACTTTTGAGCCAATAGCCCGATCGGGATGAGATTAAGTATGTGTTTATTACTCGTTAATACGAACAATTCGATCTATTTAATGATCAATGGAATGTATTTGTTAATATACATTTGGGTCAACCTCTATAGTAAATCCCCGCCGATCTTGAGGTTTATATGTGAACTGATTCTCTTTAATAAAATACATATCAAGTTGCTGTTGGACTCCTTTCAATTTGGGTTATTTTTAATTGTTTTCTGTACAAATTTTAAAAACGGATTGTAGTTTTTTTAATAGGTTAGTGGTTACACTCACTCATGGCCTGGGCTGGTATGAGGTCACGACAAGTCGCCTCGCGCGACCTGTCATATGAAATATGTCGTATGTCGCATAAGTATACGTACCCGACAAATGTCATACATATAGTCGGCAATTATCAGAATTTTCATGTTCACCTATTGGTAATCGATGTAAGGCCCCGTGTCCCATGATGATTGGCAAAATTTTCAGATTTTTATGATTCAGAGGGATCTAATTTCTTCAATCTTAAGTCGATCATATAAAGACACGTCGCGACCCCGATGTCGCGTCATGTCGCCTAAAAAACATGTAAACGACCTGCGGCGACGCGTCGTCAAAGGCAAATGACATGTCCTTTACGGTTTACCAGCTCAGCGCCTCAGCTTATGACTCAACACAGTGGTTTTTACCAGATTAGGTCTAAATACTTTGAGATTTGAGACTTGAGAGTTGAGATTTTGAGACTCATTGGGTCTTTCTAGTTTTCTCACTCCGGTGTCCCTATTTACCTACTTCTCTCTCTCTCGCACTATTTATTTAGAGAAGTTTTAGGGTTTAAAGTATGTACTCTCGCAGCGAGAGAGAGAGACTGAGAGAGTGTGTGTCTAAATACATAAATATTTATTTATATTAAGAATTTCTACGCTACTGTACTCCTTCGGGCGTTAGTTCGATCACCTATATTTAAGTTCTAAATATTGGTTCTATTCTTCTCTCACTGACTACTCCTTACAGTCTACAGTCTACACTACACCCTATAGTCTAAACTCTAAACTCTACAGTCTACAGTCTACACTCTACACTCTACACTCTAAAGCTAAGCTCATTACGTTAAGAGGGTACGGAATAGAAGTTGAACGTAAACGCATATTTTTTCGATTTTAAAACGTGATAACGGCTATAATGTGGTCAGAAGGGCTTACCTAATTTCTTTTACAGGACTGGTTTGTATAGTGAGAACGGGATTTATATTTCAATATTTAGACCCGCAAGGTGCACCCATCCGCATACCAAAGAACCGCATATTTAGTCGATTTATAAAAGTGTTAACGGAAACCGGTTTGAGGTTAGCTCTAAAGTCTACACTCACCAGTCTACACTCTCCAGTCTACACTCTATAGTCTACACTCTTATGTATTTACACTCTCCAGTCGACACTCTACACTATCTACAGACTACAGTCTACAGTCTACAGTCTACAGTCTACAGTAAGGGCACGCTACAGTAATGTAGAGTCTACACTCTATTTTTATATTTAGTACTTACAGTCTACACTCTACAGACGACTACAGAGTATAGAGTTCTACATACTGATCTACAGTTCCTACTACTACTCTCCCTCTACTGCTCTAGAGTAGTAGTAGAGCAGAGTAGTGATCACTTGTGTTGACTCTCATCGTGTAGTGTAGACCTATACTTTAATTGTTTTTTATCCCACACAGAACAACTCCATAGTCAACAGTCCACAGTCCACACTCCACGCGAGTCTACAGTCTACATTCTACAGTCTCACACTCCACGAGTCCACAATTCCACACTCTCTGACACACACACAGTCTGTCAGTTATGGGACGATTTAAAAAAAAACAAAACATTATTAATAGAGTACATATGTGGGTTGTAAGGGTTTGGGGGGAAGACGGGAAGCTGACAGCATGACCGACAGCCTGAGCCGACACTCCCGACAGCCTGAACAATTCCTGAAAGGGCTTTGTGGATATCTACTATTTACATAGCCTACTGAAAAAGAAACTTTTGTGTTCTATTTTTAAAACGTTCAGAAAGTAAAGCCAAACTCAGTATTTAAAAATTCAATACCATTGAAAATTCCAATTCCAAAACATATATCTGTAAATTCATTGGCTCTAAAATTTAAAATTTATTTTAGGAAATCATCCATCAGAAAAAAGGTTAAAAAGTTTAAAATTATGTATGTATCCAATCTGAGTTTGAGATTTTTTGAAAAATACCTATTTTGAGAACAAAATTTCAAAACCTTTTCTAATCAATTTCTGACCAGCAATCATAACTTCTTTATGCACGCTGTGCGAGTTGTGCAGCAAGCCAAAGTACTTCTGAGTCCGAATAAGTATGGACTATGTTCTTAGCTCAGACCCCATAATGACGAAGTGTTGCGCAAACTACTGCACAGTTGATATACATATGCGCAGACAACCCGGGGCTGGGTGTTCCGAAAAGGAAAAAGGACCAAGTCAAAAAGTTTTTGATGCGGCTAGGTCGATGGTCAACACCACCAAAGCATAGCAATTAGTGACCGATTATGCTAAGACACTTTATATATGTGATAAAAATATCCATCAGGAACACTTTAAACAAAACAAGAAGAACAAAACACTTCCATGATAGAGGAAAACGATACGTACCTCAATTCACGAAAACAGCATCAACATGCAGTAACTGATGCAAGAGAAATATAGAACAAAATCTACAGGGATAGTTTACAGAATCCAGATCATTCTATGTTACGGTCCAGACAAAGGAGCGCTGGCAGTAATGCACACGTATATATACATCCATCTTGGACTGTTAGCGAGAAAAGTAGAGCATTGTCAATAGCCTTTGAAAACGCATGTTACTACGGACAATATTTATTAAAACTAAAAAGTATTCATGCTATCGGAAAACTGTCCTCAGGGCCTATAGTCAGTTTTCTATTCGTTTTTTTTTCACAAAAATTTGAAATCCGGACAGTATCCGAGTTAAAGAAAGAAACTGGTGGTTAGGGTTTTTACAAAGGAGTGTTATTTACAATATCAGTAACAAGAAGTTGTCAACGGTCACGTCACTCGCGTGTCGATTCATCGAAATTAAATAACAAAATGAAACTATCAACTGTTTTTTTTCTTCAGAAGGCTATGTGTCAACTTGTCATGAATTTGCTATGTATTTTTAAAGTGTTCCTGTGCCCTTTCACAGAGTTATCTCACCAGAGAGGGCCGTGTCGATATATCGAAAGTAGCAAATAAAAATATGAAACTGTCAACTGTTTTTTTTCAGAAGGCAATGTGCCAACTTGTCATGAATTTGCTATGTATTTTTATTT